CAGCTGCCAAGTGGGGGAGCTATGATCAAACCTACATAATCTGGCCCCTGGGCCTGCACTTAACCACCAAGCAACACTACCCTTCCCATTGTTGCTGCCTCACACCTTCCCATCCTTTCAGTCAGAAGCCTCTTCCCAAACCCTTCTCCCATTCTCTCATCTCTCTCTTCTCTGTGTCTACCTCTCTCTCCCTTTCCTCTCTTCTCTCCTTTCTCTCTCTCCATTTCCCTGTTTCTTTCTCCCCCACTCCATATTCTTTCTTAGCTCTCCCTCTGAACCTCTCCATCTCTGTTCTGCCTTCAATCCCTGATGCCAGTATGGGTGCTGGAAGATAGACAGCAAGGCTAGGACAGAAGAGGGGACTTCAGATTCTGAGGAGTCCTCTACTCCCTGTGGGGAAAGCCCCAATATTCCCCAAGTGCAGCAAGGAAACCAGTAGAACAAGAGGCATGGCATGGGACTGCCTCGGTTCCCCCAGCATCTTCAGGTTCTAGGAGACAAACTGAACTTGACCAAACTGTAGGAAATCCCGGCCCCTTAACATGGCCCCCCACCCAGCTCACAAAGCAGACTCAGGAGGCTATAACTAACAACCATAAAGGACCCTGTGGACCAAGTTGCTCTCTGGAATCTAGTTGTGTCCCAGACAAGAGATGGAGATGGAGGCAATGTCACTCCCAACCCCAGTGCCTCAAGGAACCAAAGGGCTCCTGAATCCCTGAGGGACCCCGGTTTGCCCTAAAACGGCCACAAGCTCTACAAAGTCCAGGGCCAGGGGGATAGTTGGGGACTTAGTTGTTTGTCCTGGCCCAGAGCACATGAGCTCAGAGAATCAGGGTCTGGGCAGCACCCACGGATAGGTAAGCAGCCTGGGGTCTGGATGGGGAGAAACTGGCTTTTTGGGGAAACACAGCAGAAGGAGGCTTTCCACAGATCTCATGAAGGATAAGGGTGGTGCTCAGAATGAACACCACTGAGGGAAGTACAAATCACTTAAATCCAAGTCTGTCCCCCATCCCACTTCTTTAGAAACAGGCTCATTTCTCCCTCCCGGGCGGCAGGGTTCCCTTCTTCCTTTGCCTGCCTGGGCCATGGTCCAGCCCTTCCTTTTGCCTCTTCCCAGGCATCCTGATGTCTGCTCTGAGCAACAGCTGCTGTCCCTCTTCCTGGGTCTGCCCCTAAGCCCTGGAGGGAGGGTCATGAAGGTAAAAGGAGCTCCATCAAGGAAAGTCCCATGCTTACTCCAAGAAGGGGATACAGGTGGCAAAAGAGTGGAAAAAAGCTTGACAGAAAACTTATTAGTTGAGCACTGGATTCACCCAATGGAGGTTTTGTCTATGTTGGTGATATGGGGACCTTAAGGAAGCTAAACATGGTAGAAGGAACCAACAGATTCAACTAAGTTGGGAACAGACCCACTGGTCGGATGGCTGGCTCTTGCTGGGTGACAAAAATGACACCAAGGAAGAAGCTAAAGAGTAATGTACTCTGGCCTGGCATGGTGGCACATGCCTGTAATCCCAACCATTCAGGAGATGGGGATAGGAAGATTTCAGTCTGAAGCCAGCCTGGGCAAAAGCATGAGACCCTGTCTGAATAAAGAAACCAAAGGCAAAAGGACTTGGGATGTGACTCAAGTGGTATAGCACTTGCCTAGCAAGCATGAGGCCCTGAGTTCAACTCCCAGTACTGCTAAACAAACAAGCAAACAAGCAAACTACTCTGGTATCAAGAGAGCCAAGAGGACAAGTGCAGAGACGAGGTTTCTTCCTGAGCTTCTGATTAACTAGCTCTTTTCTGGGTGTTTCTCCCTACCCCCTCCCTTCTGTGTTTCATCTAATTATTTTCTCATGATAAACCAGGTTTGACCAAGTAGTTTTCTGAACCAACCCATCTTCATATTAGCTCATCTTTATTCATTCATTGTCAGGAAATTCTAGTTTTAGAGGTAACTGATAACTAAATATTTACTCACAGACTGACAGCATTCTTTCAGTGGCATTTTCTCCAAGGGTGATGTGCAGTTGCAGCTATGAAGTATCTTTCCTGAGCCTGCCCTCTTTTGGTACCCAGATGGGTGGTCCTGGGGCTCAGTCTGTGTCAGATTTAGTTAGTCTGCCCATGAATGGTCTCTGATAGCATTAAGGTAGAGAGCAATCACCTCTTCATAGTCATGAGATCTCCCAGGCAGAAATGTCACACGGATTTCTACTGGTAGCTCCTATGTGGGATGTGGGATGTGAAACAAGATTTCAGGACTTGGTCCAGGAAGAGACAGGACCCACGAGAGATTTTGTAATAAGTGTTGCAGCAGAATCAAGACTGGAATCACACTTCTTTGCATACTCTGTGTTTTGGCTTCCCAGGGACTGGTGACAGAAGCAGGTACCATATTCCACAGGGCCCAGGAACCTTGTCATGATATCTCAGACACCAGGCCACCAAGGAAGGTAAGGAAGTGAGACAGGATCCCAGGGGCTGGTTGTAGATTGGCTATAGTACAACACCTGTACCCACGTGCCCCAAACATAAGCTGCTGTGGTCTCCAATGGTTCCTTCTCAGCTCTCTCTGGCCTCCTGCCACCTCCCCCAACCATCTGGGGCTGCAGCCCCAAGCAGAACCAGGCCAGGACAGTGCATACCCAAGTTTCTCCTAGTAGCAGCTGGGGGGAGTGTCAGGCTTTTCCTGGGTTGCCTTCGGCAGATGCAAATCCTCTCTGGGTGCATAATCTCCAGACTCCAGAAGACACTCCAGCCCTGCCTTGGTTGCCCATGCTACAGACAGAGCTCAGTCTCTGCTGCCCGTCCCCTGCTCTGCTACTGGTTTCACACCTGTTGAGGTAAGGCCTGCCTGGCCTCTTCTTCAAAGCATATAGAACTTTCTAGTGAGGTGTTTCCACCCTCATGATGCCCAGGTTGGGGGTCCCAGTTCATGTCAGCACAGCACTTAACAGTGTGGCTTTGAGCCTCATGGACTGATCTGGGAATCAGACATCCCCATTTCCTGCACAGTAATAATTGGACCATGATGCTGGGTGTGGCACGTCTCTTGCCCTGTTGAGCAGGGGAAGCCCCCAGATGAGATCTGGGGTGGACAGAGTGGGGCTGGAGTCTTCTTAGAAGGCCACCTCTGCTTCTAGGGGCTTTCAACCCTCCCTGCCTGATTTTGAGTCTATCTCATTGTGAATAAATTAATTGTTGTGCAACCTAGAGTGGTGAGACAAGTTAATTACATAATTACTGCAAAATGACATGTTATTTCATGGCTGCAATATGGTAACTCTGTTGGAAACAATTGTAATTGCCCAGAAACTGCATTCGAGTGGCTCTGTTATCTCTCCATAACCATGTAATTAACTTGTGTTACAACTTTATCTGCAGAAAACTCCGAAGTTAGGAGTTGGGGTTCTTGGGGTAGACACAGCCATTCTAATCCTAAGGTCACAGGGAGAGTCCAGCACTGGGAGCTCTGCTATATTCAAGGAAAATAATCTGGTTTTTCAAGTTGAGTGGCTGAAGGCCTCTCTCTCTCTTTCTCTCTGCACCCAAACTCATTTCCAACCTCATGTCATCAAATATAGCCAGTTCCACAGTGCTACAGATCATATCACACAAAAACACCTACTGTGGCCATACTGACTGGGCCTATGCGTCTCTTCTCTCCTATGTATAAGTACAGCTCCTTAACAGAAGGTGGTTGGCCCCAAAGTTGAAAACTCCTGCCCCAAAGCCACTAGCTCTATCCATCCTTTCCCATGGACTGGGCCAGTGACCACAAAACCATGATTTGAAGAGGCAGTCTCCTCCAGACACCTATAAGAGTTCAGCTGTCCTTGTACTTATGAGAGAAGGAGCAGGCCTGGGAATATGGTGTGAGGGCCTAGGCCAGCTGGTTCCCTGGCAAGGGGCAGGCAGAGTTGAAAGCAATAGTCTGATTCCACCAGCCCTAGGCTTTGGGCTGTGGCCATGGTGAAAATATCCTTTGGGGAAGAGAAGCAACTGGGCCAGTGGTAGGAGCCTATCCACACAATCTTCCCTGTCCAGTGATCCACTCCCTTCTCAGCTCCAGGCTCTGTGCTCAGCACCATGGTAGCATCCCTGTAGACCTGCATAAACCCAGCCCAACCAGGTAGGTGGAAAACACCCTGGAATGCTGCTGGTCTGACTGTCTCTGGCCTGGGCTGAGTGCCTGCTGGCCTGCCTGTCTGTCTCTCCTACCACCTGGCACAAGTGTCTATGTCTGACTTTCCAGAATCACTGCAAGTGGCCTGAGTCTGCTGGAGGGAACTGGTCCATCCCAGGTCCTCACCACAATGTGCTTTTACTTATTTGCCTGACTTTTGCTTTCTGGGCCCATGACAAACTCCTCAAGAGCAGGGACTATGTATCATCTGTTATTCAACCTGTGTCTTATTTGCTATGGGTCAGCCCTGTTTGCAGCATGGGGTAAAAACTTGTAATAGACTGAGGTTTGCTTACTGACTGAGTAACTGACTGGATGCCTCCAACCTGCATGGACTGAGTCAAAGAGAAATAGGATTGTCTTCCTTTACCCACAAGAGCAGGAAGCTAGACCTCAGGTCAGTCCCAGGCTCATTTGTCACCTTGAAAGGGAAGGGGAGTTTTTTGGGGGGGTGGGTAATACCTATGATGGGGGCTCAGGTTGTGGAGTCCTACTATGGAACAGGTGAGAGCTGGGTCCCCATCTGTGTGTAGTACCATAAGGGTACACAGGGCTTTCTTTTGCTTCTCTTATTAGAGACTTGCTCAAGGGCAAGCTGTATGCTCTGCCCAGGGAAGGGGTGATACCCTAGTTCTACCTGTGGCTGGGTAACTCTGAGTTGTTCCACCTTCTTTTCCCCATAGACAATCTGGCACCTCCTGTTGGGCAACAGCACATGCTAGAAGCCCTACCCTCTGTTCCATGTCCTAACCCTGAGGGACAGAGGTGAGAGGGCCCCAGATCTGTGTCAGTCATGTGAACAACGCAGAGTAACATCCCCGGAAACATTCATAAGTTTAATCCACGCCAGTAATAAAATCGCGTTACATTTCTCATAAAATAAATGTTCCCATTTATATACAGAAGACAGACTGTACAGGCCCAGCCTGGCCCCAGGAGGGGTCACAAACAGACGGGCAGTGGCGGTGGAGGAAGGGTTGCCCTCTCATTGAGGATGGAGAAGACAGTGGCTGGCCAGCCCACGTTGGCAGAGTGGCTGGCTGGCCTGCGAGGCAGGTGGGCAGGCAGGGAGACAGACAGATGGGCCTGGAGGCCAGGTGCCGGGTGTTACTGAACCTGGGATTCGAAGGTGCCATTGAGCTGCCCCTCCTCATAGTCCATCTGACACAAGATCATGTTGTTCTTCAGGAAGAATTTGTCTCCCACACAAAACCTAGAAAATCCAAGCAAGAGAACGAATCCATGGGGAGGGTCCCAGTAGGCAGCAGGACCCACCCTAGCATAGGGGTGGAGGTCATAGGGGAAATTTACCCCTTGAGCTTTCCAGAGAGGGTTGAGGAAGTCCGCAGAAAGCCTGGGAAGTTACCTTCAGCCAGGGCCTGAAACCCGGGGTGGTGGGACAGACAGTCAAGCCAGGGCCACAGGCCTCCCACCATCATATTTCCCAAGGAAGTGAGGGAGCATTCAGCAGGCAGGCACAGGAATAACCTATCCCAGTCCCAGAGCAGAGGCAACAAAGAGAACCATGAGACAGAAAAGGACAGAATGAGGACAGAGATGGAGAAGAGAGATGGGGAAAGAGAGAGGGATGAAACGGTTGATTCTCCAATCCCTCTGTCCTCCTCCCCAACTGCAGAGGACAACTCATTAAGGGCATGCTTCCTCCAAACAGAATCTGTGGGTTACCTGCAGCATCCTCCTGGAAGGTAGCCCTGTTCCATTTCTTCTCCTACCCAATAAAGACCATGCTCTGGCCCCAAAGTCTGCCACAGTACTGGAGGATTCCAATCATTTCCTCAAAGAAGTCCCCAGGGTGGCTAAAACCTTTACTAACCCCCAGGGTCATTGGTTCAATCCCTACAGATCCAAGTTCAACCACCAGGTGGTGCTGTAACTTCACCAAGCCCTCCCAGCAGCAGGTCTTGCCAGAGCCCCCAACCAGACCAGTATTCCCTGCAGATCCCTCTGGGCCTCCAACCCCTCCAACCCCCTGGCACACACACCATGGAACATTTGTATGAGTTCCTATTTGAACTCCCCCAGGGCTTCCAGCAGAACTAGGACACCACAGAGCCCAAAAGATTACAAAAGAACCAGATTCACAGGAGTGGGTGATATTCCCTGAAGGGATCTCACACTGTAGGCCTGAGAAGCCCCTCTCAACAAGACTGTACGCACATCACATGCATGTGTTCATGGCTACAGGTTTACAGAGCACACACACATTACCTCTTGAACGTGCACACTCACCTCATCAGTATACACAGGATGCACCTACTTGTACACAGACAACCAAAAACACATGTGCATGTTGATTCCATGTAAATGTACTTACTTGTACAGAGACATTTTAAAATACACACATGTGTACTTACACTGTGTATACACAGAAAACTCATGCATACCCCATCATTACTTCCACACAGAAACGTGCCACACAAATATGCATACCCACTGTAGGAGGACACACATTTGATTACAGGGTTGAGATGCACACACAAAACATCACATGCATACTTGCTCATGACCACGTGCACACACTCATCCCCAAACACACAGAATGCATGCTTGCACACATGCCTCCACAGCACTCCTGGCCTGACAAGCAGGCCTCAGGCTGTCATCTGGGGAAAGTGTTCAGTCACCTTGGGTCCAGCACCCACCTCTGGTTGCAGAGCTGGCAGGCAAAGCAGTCAAGGTGATACACATTGTCCCGGGCCCTCATCACCATCTCGAAGGCTGGGATCAGCTTGCTGCAAGCAGCACAGTTTCCTGTGGTGCCGAAGAGCCTGCCAGGGGAAGGGCACAGAGGGCTCAGGGGCCTGCCAGGGCATTGCCTCCCAGGGCTCTGCCCATTCCCTGGTCGCCCTGTGGGCATGGTAGGTGGGCCTGGGCTAGGGGTAAAAGACCTAACTGCATCATCTAGATTCTGCCAACATACCAGGCCTTAGGAAAACTGTCATCCCACCCCTGGGAGGCTGTGTAAGGGGCCAGGGGTAGCTAACACTGCCCATCCCCAAACCCTCCCAGCTCCTACTGGGGTCTCTCAAACACCTGGCTGCCAGAAGAGCACTGGCCTGGGTCCTGAGCAAGGGCTCCAGACCCACACAAGCCTAAGTTTCAGAGACAGTCTGCCCATCATGGGCTATGTGTCCTTAGATAAGTCACTGAGTCACTCTTTGCCTCACTGAGCCCTGTTTACCTCAACTGTCAAATACCAAAATTCACCATAGCAGTTATAGTAAAAACAGCTGTAAACCTTCACAACACATTTGGCAAACCCCTAGGTGGAGTCTCTGAAGGTCAGGCACTGTTCTAGGGGCTTACAAAGATCACTTCATCTGATCCCAATGCAACCCTGTGGGGTTGACACTTACATTATCCCCAATTTTCAAGGTAAGAAGAATGAGTCACAGAGAGGTAAGCAACTTGCCAAGGGTACATGGGCCTCGCTCATCCAGGGCAGGTGTGGGGAGGTGTTCCATATCACTGCTCAATGCAGCTTCCTCATCTTTAAATTGCAGTGCTTTATTAAATCCTTTTTCTGCTATTAACTCACTGTGTGGCTTGCCTAGGTCCCCTTTTCCTTCCCCTGAACCTCAGTTTATACTTCTGAAAAATTGGGATACTGATGATCCTGTCCAAAGATACTTCTCACACAGAACTGATATCCAAAGGAAGTTCCAAGAGCATCTGGCACAACAGCTCCTTTGAGGCAGGCACCTCTCCTGTCATCTGCTGACCACAAAGCTCTAGGGACAGAGAATTCATTTCCTCCTCATGCAGGCCAGCCCTTGGCTGGGCACTCCAGTGGTCTGAGCCAACCATGCTCTTTCTTGCTTCTTTCCTACATATTGGCCAAGCTAGCCCCAAGTGAGGCAAGGGGGCTGAGAAGTGGGTGGGAGGCCCCTCTAATCCCTGATCTGTCCAGCTCAGGCGCCTGCAGACACTTGGCTCCATTATTCATCAGCCTGAGCTGCCTGGTGGCTCAGATAAAGGCAGACAAAGGCTGGGCCACAGAATCTGCCTGCCAACAGGGGCCTAGTCTGCCATGAGCAGTAGCTGCAGAGAGGCGTGCTCTGGATAGCCACTTCTCCAATGTGATCCACTGGCCTACCAGGCCCAAAAAGTTATATATAAAACAACAACAAATCTTTAGTCTCTAGTAGCTGGCAGGGTCTACACTGCTATAGGTGCTGTGGCTCTCCTGACTAGCCAACCTGTCCTGCACTGTAGCCCTCCTTCTCCAAGTCCTGTGGACCATCCCTAAGGGTCTATGGTCTGCCACCTCTCCCTAGCCTGGTAGGTTCAGCTGCCCTCGTAGAGGCCCTAAACCTTCAGACTTAAAGACCTTTGTCAAGTCCTCAAGAGGTGAATTCCCAGGGGCATCCCTAACCTCTTTCCTGACCTTGGCCTCTCCCTTATAGCTCTGGGAGAACCAAGTGAGCCACAGATTCTGTTTTAATGGATCAATTGTAATACTCCTGCAAAAGGCAGAAGTTAAAAGAAAAGGTATAAGCAGGTAAATCTCAAGCTCTTCGGGGAAATAGGGGCACGTCTACTGATAACCCTGGCCCCCTCTACCTTGCCCTGATGAGCAGAGGGAGCCTCATGAGCCCTTGCCCTGACCTGTTAATTAATGCAATGGGCCTTTCTTGCTCAGAAGTCCCAGCCACCATCCAGCTGCCTGCGACAGAGCCAAATGCAGGCTCTGGTTCTCAGCCAAGGCCCCTGCTTTGTGGCCTCCTTCCAGCCTTGCTGATGTCATAAATGGCCTAAGGGAGGGTTAATTGGGGGAGGCAGCCTCAGGGGATGGGATCCAGGTTATGGGGGAGCTCTGAGGATGCAAGGCAAGGAAGCATGATTCTTTTCACCACTTCACAGGGAAGTAAACTGAGATCCAGAGACGGTTGGAAGCCAAAGACTCAGAGCTGGTGCAAACCCAGGTCTTTGAAAGCATCATAGCGTCCTAATGAATGCCTCCTTACCAAGCCTCCAGGGCAAGTGGAAGTGTAATCCCAAGGACCACCTGCACAAGGAGGAAACTGGGCTCTGGGAGAGAGGTGGGCAGGAGACTGCATTAGCGAGGAAGGCCCAGGCAAGTCTGAGCTTCCTCACTCTCTCCTCCAAGCCCCTCTGAGGTGTCCCCTCCCAGATTCCAGGAAGAGGTAGATCAGAAACACCTGGCAAGGGCAGAAGCCAGGCTGGTGCCCACGTGAAGCTTATCTCCAGTGCCCAACAGCTACAAATGCCTGACTGTAGTATGCCTGGCCCCAAGTCCAAGAAGATGAAGAGATGGGTCTACCCCTAGGTGTCTCCTCGGTCATCTGGGGGTTGTAGCGCAGGGTGAGATAGTGCACCCTGTGTGGGCCATGCACACAGTGTGCTAAGTCTAGAGTCAGGGCAGAATCCCACATGCCTGGAAGGACAGAGAGAGAGAGAGCTTTGCCTGCAGGCCAGGGCAGCAAGGCTGGCAGCTGGGCTCACCTCAAGTAGTCACGGCGGCACAAGATGAGGTTGGCCTTGGTGTAGAGGGTGGAGCCCACCTCGCCCAGGCGGCAATCACAGCAGGCACACTTGAGGCAATCTTCGTGCCAGTACTTGTCCAGTGCCTTCAGTAGGTAGCGGTCCTTGATCTTGCGGTTACAGCCCGCACAGCCCTTCTGCTTCCCTTTGGGCTGGACGGAGAGCATCGGCACACCTGTGGATGGAGAGCAAACAGATGGACACAGATCTGGCCTATGGCTCTGGGCCTCAGGGCACACTCCTTTTCTGGGGATGGGAAGTTCACCACTTCTTTCTGCTGCCTCTTCTAGGTTTGAGGTTCTCGGGAACCCTGATTTTCTATTTTCTTCCCAGTAACTTCTTACTCTGGTCCCAGGGCCTGCTCTTTGGGAATTACAGCATGGCCTGTTCTCTCCACAGGGAGCCCTGAGTCTGCTCTGCTCCAGGGCACACACACAGCCCCAGGCCTGGCTTCTCTGAGCAGTTTCTCCCCTTTATAGCCACTGTCCCTTGCGCAATCTGATCCAGGTAGGCCCAAAGCCCTCCTCACACAGCCACCATCCCATGAATCATCAACAATGGGCCTAAGAATGAAGTCCATTAAAACTTCCAGACCTTTCTTGTCAACTCAAATCTTCCTCACAGCGAAACAGTCGATGTACACTTGAGCATTGCAACCTGGTCAGGCTAAGCCTCTTTTGTGCAGAACTGCAGAAGTGTCAGGAAAAGAGTAAGTGGTTCTTGGGATACTCCCAGGACGGAATGGGCAGCTCAGAGTCCCTGCCATTGTCTATGGCCATACCTCCCTAAATGTACCCATCTCATCTGATCGCAGAAGCTAGGCAGGGTGGGGCCTGGCTAGTACTTGGATGAGAGAGCTCCTGGCATTTGCAGGGAGACAGCTGGCTGACCTGTTTGGAGTTCCCCTTGGGAACACTTCAGCCAGAGTCAAACTTCCACTGCCCTGGCCTCTGAGAGGGGCTGGTTCAGAGTCTCTGCAGCCTGGTTCATTCTACCAAGATAGGAAACTCTGAGGCACCAGCCCCCCTAAAAACCCCCATGAGCTTCCCAAAGCACAGGAAAGCACCAAGTACAAAGGGCAGGACTCTCGATATGGGCAGTCACCTTGTGTCAGAGTACCCCAGCAGGTGAGCACTCATGCATACCCATAGACATAAGTACAATAGGCATGGGTCCCGTGAATGAACTGTGCCTAGTTCCTTCCCCTAGGGCCATCAGGAGAGGCAGCTGAGAAGGAGATGGGGACAAATGTTCTCCAGGGGCCTGGATATCCACAAGGAGCCATGAGGCTTGACCAGGTTGGGAAGGAAGCACAAAGGGTCTCAAAAGCCTGACGTGTGACTTTGCAGGGAGGGATATCTGAGCATCAACCCCTTGTACAAGCAAGAGGTGAGCTGAGAACAGATTCCTTCCTTGACCAAGGTGCAGTTGAGTGGAAGGGCAGATGGAGCCCATCATTTCCTACCTCCACAGTTTTCCAATGAGGCCTGGAGTCCGTCCATCTACCAGCCCCCTCCTCTCAAAAGACCCCTGCTATGCAGGACTTGAGTCCAGCTTCTACCTCCTGTTTTCTTCCCTATCCCCAGCTGCTTCTCTGCCTCCTCCCAGAAGCTGAGCTACTGGGCCCTGTCCCTTCCTTTCTTTCCCCCTCTAGTGGTGGCCATTCCTCAAGCTTCAGGGGAGAATCAGTCACCAAGGAGCTTCCATCTCAGAATCCATACATGTTGGGTCAGAAGGGTCCTCAGTCTTGCTCTACAGTTGGGAAAATTGAGGTCTGATCTGAAAATTAGCCAGATGGACTAATGCAAGCCACCAATCAGCACTCTCCTCTCCTGTGCTCTTTCTCAGCCCAGCTGCCTCCTTGGTAGAGAAAGAGGTGGCCCAGGAAGCCAGGGGAGCCCTCTTTATGAGGCAGCCAGAGCTAGGCCTGCATCAAGCCTAGGACCAGAGGGGACAGGTGAGGTCAGGGAGGAGACACTGCAGGCTGCAGTGGGGTAAGGTCAGCCAGCGCTCTCCTCTGTCCCTCCTCCAGTCCCCACAGGGCCCCTGTCTGTTAGCTGGGAAGTTTGCTGCCTAATTTCCTTAATGCAGCTCTAAAGGTTAATTGGTCTGACAGAGCAATGGGACTCAAGATGACTCTGTCCTCAATCCTGCTTGTGTCTCCTCTGACAGGGCCTAGACCAGTCACAGAGCTCTGGAAGAGTCCCTGAAGCAAGTCCCTAAGTGTGAGGGGCCTGGAAGGCTCCTTCCAAGACCTGGCCTGCAGGGAGGAACAAGGTATAGGAAAATAGGGGGGAAGTTAAAATAACTGGATCTGGGGTGGCCTGGTGCTCCGAGTGGGAACATTGTCCCTGGGTCCTGTGGAGTGAGTACCCAACCAGGATAGCTATGAATTTAAATACTAATTTGGATTTCAAGCCAAGCCTGCTACAGCCCCTGCAAGGCTGATGTCTCTCTTGTTCACCTGGGCATGCAGCAGGCCTGGCTCCTTCCCTGCCACCTCATGTCCCAACCTGGGCTCTGGCTATGTGATTACCATGGGGGAGGGGAGTAAGGAGCTGTATCCACACACAGGAGACACCCCTATCCCATTAAGCTATACCCTAAAATGAAGGGAACAGTGGAGACACCAGCACTAAAAGCATCTTTCTTACTACCTCCTCTATATGGATAGGCTGCTGGCCTTCCAAATTGAGGCCCAGCGTGCCTGGCCATGGAGCCTGAAGGGCTAGCCAGCCTCCCACTACTGGTAGGGACTAGTACCTTGAGAACACTGTGAAAGCCATGAGGGGTGATGTTACATGCTACCCCTGACTCCCCTCCCAGGGCATCCTACCTGTGCCCAGGCTAGGCCTGTCCATAAGGACTGGGCACCCCTTCTCAATGCAAGGTGCCAAATTCTGATTCCTGGGCTCTGCAGAACTCCTATAGAAGCTGCACAACTTCTACCAAAAGTCCCATGTCCATTGAGTCATGCAATACCTACACAAATAGGGACCCATGAGATTTCTCCATTTGGAAAAGCTGAGGTCCTGGGAGAAGCTGCCCCACAGCAGCTTGGTCTTGGACTCCAGATCTGCAGCCTATTCCCAGGTGGCTGGGAGCAGAGCCTGGGTCTCATTCCCTCACTGCCCAGCAAGGAAAACAGACACCATCCCTTGTTTCTCAATGGAGGGCGGAAGAACTCTGGGGGTCAGACAGGACAAAGAAGTCTTCCTTCTACCTTACCAAGTTCCATACCCAGTGCCACACCTACCACGCCATGCTGACCCTGCTGGGCTAGGCCGGGAGACTTGACAACACTCCTAGAAGGGTGGAGGAACTTTAAGGGGAGCATCTACAGCCTCCTGCTCCCCAAATGGAAAGAAATGCTTCCCACAAGGCCCAAGCCCTCACTTCCCTGCCCTGCCTCCCCAGCCCACCCCCAGTAGACCCTGTTCCCTCCCTCCCCCTGCCTGGCTCTGGGAGCCAGCCTCAGGCCATGCACTTTCCATTAGGGAGATAGCATCCCTTTGCTGAAGTCCATTTGGGACCCATTTTAGTGTTATCTAAAAATCAAATCTACATGGTAATCCTTTTAATGTACTCCTGACTTCAGAAAAAACAGCTTTGCGCTTCTTCAGGAAAGGTTTTAAAGCATTACCCAGTAATTACTACTCACCCATGAAAACATCCATATTTTACAATGGAGGTCGTCTGTGCCTGAACACGCACCCAACACACCAGGTCCAGCAACATAGCCAGTTCCCTTAACCCATGTGCTACCCCCAAATCTCAGGGTATAGTGGGGAGCAACATTTGAGGGGAGACAGGCCAAACTCCAAGCCCTCTCTACCAGGCTGATGGAGGGAGGCAGCCAAGCTGCGGGGGAGGCCTCTGGGTCTGACTCATCGGCAGCCCAACACTCACCCTCAGTTCTACAATCTGGGGCAAAGCCAGACAGTCCGGTGATGGGAAGGGACTGCCAGAGGTCATCCTGCTCCTCCCACCTCTCCCTTCAGCCTGGAGTGAAGCTGTCTTACATACCTCCAGACTGTCCGCTAGGCCAGCCCCAAAGCCTTGGCAACTCCTGTCCACCTAGCTCAAGCCAGGCTGCCCTTCAGTCTTGCACATGGACTTTTCCAAACACTGAGCCTGTGGGTTCCCAGACCTAGAAGTACATCCAGCTTGGACAGTGGCCTGAGCTGCTGTACAGTATTCCAACCACCCCTATGAGCTCCTCCAAGCCTAGTCGTCCACCACAGAGTCACCCAGGCCATTCCAGGCTGTGCCCCAGGGCTTTCCTACTAGGGACCACTGTGGCCAGTACTGATGGCTATACCAGGCACCCAGAGGCTCTCCTATATGCCAGTGTGGCCTGCTTGGCACTGCTGGCCCTGCTACCAGCAAAGTCCTGGAATACTATCCTTTCCATCCTACCAGTGGACCTTATTTGTTTCTGTCCCAGGGCCTGTGCTCATCACTGCTCTGGGAAGAAACGCCTTTGCCCTGCCTGTGCCCACTGTCTCCCAAAGGTCAGAGGCAACAATGGGCCCGAGACTAAGAGCCCAGACCTTGAGGGAGCTAGGGCCTGAAGCAGATCCTTCATCTCTCTGACTTGCATCTGTGAAATGAGGCATATGGTCTCTCACCACACAGGCTGCAGAAAGGCCAGGAGGAGTTGCAAACCTGAGGCCACAACACAAAGCCTGGCACTAGGGTGAAGAACAATGAACACTTACCCCAGGATGCCATCCCTGCTAGGACAGTTGTTTTCTGTTTAGCTTTTTTATTTTGACATAATTTCACACTTTCAAAAAATTTGCAAGAATAATAGAAGGAATTCCTGTTGTAACTTTTGTCCAGATTCCCTAAATATGAACCACTTAGCACATTTGCTTTATCTTCTTCTAGCTTTCTTTCCACCTTGCTATAATTTTTTTCCTGAATTATCTGAGAGTTGGTTTCAAACAAAGTCTCAACACCCATGGACACTTGTGGTGCGTGACCACTTTGCTAAAAACAAGGACGTTCTCTTACACAGCTACAATACAATTACCAAAAGCAGGAAATGATCACTGATGTATTATTCTTATCTAATCTACAGCCCTCATTCAGATTTCACCAATTTTCTCAATATCTTTTATGAAAAATCATGGGTCACACACTGCGTTCAGTCATCTACTTAAACCTGGA